CAAGAGGGAATTTTTTTTTTTTTTTTTTTTTTTTTTTTTTTTTTTTTTAAATTAGAAAAAAATATATATATATTTGTTTTATTTTATTAAAGTAAAAAAAACATTTTTTGAATATAATTAATATAATATAATTTTATTCCGTTATGCCCTTGGCCTGAACATTTTTATGAAGTTAATTTGTATTAATTTACACTAATGTGTATATGCAGTATTTTAGACATTAAAAAAAAATCTTTTTGACCCCAAACCTTTGAACAGTAGTGAATTTGTTGAAAATGCAGGGTAATTTTTTTTAAATTAGTTTATAATATAAGATAATCATTTTATTCCACTGTATTGCCTTTGCCTTGTCTTAGCTAAATTTATGTCTATTAACACTAATGTGTATATTCAGCATTTTACATACATGTGTGTGTGTGTGTGTGAGTGTGTGTAATTTTTCTGATGTGTGTGAGTGTCTGTCAGTGGGGGTACAGTGGAACATCTATCTGTGTCGTCTTCATGTGATTTATGCGCGTGACGCAGAAGCAGCAGTGTCTTTTTTTAACAGACCCCGTGCCTGCCTAGTGAGAATCATCCTCAGCCCTCATTGAGAGAGTGTGTATTGTGTGTTTTCTTCCCCCCTGTGGACCACAGGTGACAGACAATGGAGAAGGACGCACAGAGAGATCCGGAGAGGCCCCATGGCAAACAGCAGGCCACGGCGGCCCAGCGCCGAGCTCCACCCGAGACGGAGGCATGGGAACATGTAAGATTGGAAATACCCAACCGTCACCAGTGAGTGAATCTAACTCTAGATCTAACCATCACTGAAGCGCTTGCAAACCCTGATAATACAGTAACCTTTATTTTAAAGGTCCTTTGTGTGCTTTAACACCCTATTAATATCTGACAATCTGCAATGAATCATTTAATAAAGTCTCTTTCTGCACAGGGGTCTGAAGCATCTTTAGCGCCGTCTGCCACACTGAAGGGAATGTCTGAAGTCTTTCATTCAGTGGAAGAATGAAGTGTGCCTCCACTGATGGAATTCCAGCATCACTTGTTCTCAAACATTCCGCAGGTCAAGAGAAGATCTTCCATCTCCATTTTTTTGCATAATCATGATTTTTAGGTTTCTCACAAATCAAAAGACTTTCAGACTTAATATTTTTGTTTGATCTGGATCTGGTCAGAACTGTGCAGAGCGCAGTCTTCCACTTCTACCAATTACAGTGTACTTGTTTTCATCTTTCTTTCTTTCTTTCTTTAGTTTTCATCTTTCTTTCTTTTTTTACAGACTTGCAGGTCAGACCTAAATTCTAACCCTTTTTTATTTGCAGTTTTTCAGTGCTCTTTCTTTCTTTCTTTCTTTCTTTCTTTCAGTCATGCTCATTGTTTTCTTGCTTTTTCTTCCCTGATTCATTTTCTTTCCCTTTTCTTCATCTTTATTCATTTCTTTTAGGTGCATGTTCATGTTTTCCTTTTTTTCTCTCTTTTTTTGTTGCATTTTTAACTTATTTTTTATTATTTCTCCATCTTGCAATTTCCTCATCTTTCTTTTCTTGCATTTTCTTCGTTTCATTTTCCAGCTTTTTATTAATATTTTTTATTAACCCTTTTTGCCTTTTTAATCTGTCTTGCATTTTCTTCATCTTTCTTTTCTTGCTTTTTCGTCA